TATAGTTTATCATTTCTTCGTACAAATTACAATATTAAATTATTAAATATATATTTCATATTATATTTTAATTACTACAACAATTATTTATTTTTATGTTCTACTTATATAACTTTTAATTGTGATATAAGTAAGGAAATAAGAATATTCCAAACATTCTTTCTAAAAAATAAACACTATCTATTGAATCGCCCTTGTGCAGAAAGTGTGAAGTAGAAGAGTAAGACTTTTTTCACATTATCTGCGAATGTGAAGACTTGTCCACACTAAGATCAAACTACTTGAGTAAACCTTTTCCTGAAAAAGAAGATATTAAAAACCTAAGACCTAGAAAAATACTTAATTTGGCCAGAAAGACAGGACTCTTCGATCATCTACAGAGAGTGAGCCATAATATAAAGATAGATATAATGTAATAACACTTAGTTGTGCAAACCGAATCAAGACAATTCGGTATGTGTGCACAATGGACCAACAGATCTGAGTGTATGGGAATTATGTCCACCTCATTAATAACTAAAACTAAAACTACTATCAAATATAAAGACGTTCGAAGAAAAATTTCTTATGGTATGAAAGACAACAGTTTAAGTTTGGAGGAAATTTCATGCACTACGTGGTCTAAAGAGGTACAATCCCCTCTCGACATTTAAGAGATAACGTAATATTTATCAAATATTTTCTGATAAAGTTAGTAACATCTCCAATACTTTCTGTAGGCTTAAATACACTTTGCAGCACTAATCGATCAGGAAAATGTATTTTTACAATACATTTTTTGTACTTGTGTAATATATTTAATTTATTTTGAGTTTTTTCTAATTCTTTCATTGCATTTGTAGATAATTGTCCATCATCTAGTTGAGATCTTTAACACACATAAATTCATTATATATGCATATAATTATAATAAATATACATTAATACATACATATATTATTTCATACACAAGCTTCAGTAAGTGGGCCTATGTATTATTTTAATTAGTGTTATAATTTTACTTTTAAATTTTTATGGCTAAAAATATATTTAGAAAAATATATAAAGATAGTATGATAATATTAAATCAAATAAAAATTATTATGTATAATAATGAAATTTATTGAGACATAATTAAATATATTAAAACTGGTATTTTAAATCCTCATTCGTATTTGGTATTAACATTAGTACCGATCTTATTCAATGTACCGAACATTTTGGTATTTGCAGTAGATTTTATATTTTAAATAAATAAGGAACAGCAATATCAAAAGGATTTCCGTTCTTTAAATAAATTATTTAAAAAGACATATCTTCTTTTTCTACAGCTTTTACAGTCCATTTAAGACCTTCGCTGCCTTCAGATCTCCAAATATGACCCGTCCATTCTAACCTTTTACTTTTTAGGAACGAACTAATAATGGGCTTAATAAATATTTGGTACAATTCTTGGTTAATTCTTCTACTTTATTCACCACTCTCCATTACAGGGTCATAGATTCGATGTAGTCATTTTTTTTCAAAAATTTTTATTTTCTAATTTCTCTTAATCATTGATCAGATTTTACACCCATACGTCAAAACCGGTCGTAAAAATCTGGAGTATAGATATGCTTTAGATTGCCTGGACAGTAGTTTGGATTTAAATAATGTCGCAAATGCAAAATATCTCTTGTTCCCTAATGCAATTCTCAATTTAATTTCATTGTGCATATTGTTTCAGCTGTTTATATTAGTTCTTAAGTACCTAAAATCTGTTACTTGTTGAAAGACATATCCATCCACTAGCAAATCAGCTTGTGCTCTCGCTTCTTTTGATACTACTAGGTACTTAGTATTTTCATGATTAACTTTTAATCCAATTGGTTCTGCTGCTTTTATTTGGTCTGCAGTTCTCCTTTCCACTTCATTTCAGGAATTACCAATTATAACAATATCATCTGCGATGCCGAGAGTGTTTTATCACAGAACACTATCGGGGAGAGATCTAATTACTTTTTATAACACCAGATTGAAAAGTATGGGAGAAAGCGCATCTCCCTGTCTTAGTTCAGCTCCAACTTCAAAACTTTCTGATAGTTTATTCGCAAATTTTACTTTACAGTATGTTTCGGTATTGCATTCTTTTATCAGCTGGATTAATTTGATTGGTATACTAAGTTTTTCCAGTACTGTCCATAATTTTTCCTTTCTAATACTGTCGTACGCCTTTTTAAAGTCCACGAAGCAAAGGTGCACTTCTCTACCATACTCATAGTACTTTTCTAACAATTGTCTGTTAATAAAAATGGGCTATGTGGTAGATTTCCCTCTCATAAAGCCGTTTTGGTAGTCTCCAATTATATCGTTAGCATATACTTCCAGCCTTTGCAGGATTATCATTGACAGAACTTTATAACAGGTGTCTAAAAATGAAATTCCTCTATAGTTAGTTGTTTTCATCGAGTCTTCTTTTTTATACATCGGACATACGATCATATATGGTTTCATAACCTTGACTTATCCAGACATAATNGACATATGATCATATATGGTTTCATAACCTTGACTTATCCAGTTAGGTCAAATCTTCTTCCTTGCCATGCATTCTATCTTTCCTTAAATTCCGTTCCCTTAAGTCCTCTACACGATAGTGAAGCTCTATGTAACTTTATCATCTTCTCTTTGACTGTCCTGCCCTAATTAACAGCAGAAATAAACTATTTAGCCTCTTAGCCTGCCACAATATTAATCCCTCTTCTATAGCTAATACTCTTAATTTCTGTTCTTCTATTATAATTACATGTAAATTACATTAATTATGTATTTCCATCATTTCTTTCCTGAAGAGTTCCGGCTTTACCATTTAATCTCTAATTATTTTATTACTATTATTATTTTGTAGTTATTTATTTATCTATTTTTTATCTTCTTCCTTTATTTCCATTAATTTTAATTTAATAAGTTCTCAGTTTGACATTAAAGGCTCTGTTAACAATAATTTTAATTAATGTTTAATTTTTTTTAATTTTGAGTATACTAACAATAATTGTTGCATTTGTTGTACCGTTATAATATAGTATTATGATTGTTATATTTTTTACTTTGCTTATAATTGTTGAGCTAATTGTTATTTTATTAAAAGGCTATAAAAAAAAAAGTATATATATTACATTAAATTATTTTTTATAGAAGGCAATTTGCTTTCAGGAATTTGATTATTCATTGTACCTTTTAGATAAACTTGGTTTCGAGGCGTATTTAAATTAAATAAAAAATAAAAAACTCTTTATATTGTAATACTATTAATTAAAACAAATCTAAAAACTTGACACAATGTAAAAAATTATATGGTAAGGTGACATCTGACATAATACCATAAAAAATGAAAAGATTGATCATTAAATAATAATAAATGTTTGGGAGATATTGTTACAGAAATAACAATAATGTCACCCATTTTTATTCTTAACAAATAATCATAGTAATCTATGAATACGTAGTAATCGTAGAATCGAGAATTCTAAATAATACACATATATTTATTAATTAGAATTTACTTAATAATACATGTAAAATACACGTAAATTTATAGTTTCTTTATTTTATACCTTATAATTTCATATACTAAATCGAAAAAATGATTGATCCAATGTAAAACTTTATTAAATATTTTTAAAGGAAATATTATATGGATCATGTTTATGAGAATGTTTCATAGTAAATTCAATCATCTAATTAATATATTAAGATAACTAAAAATAATATTTATATAAATTTTGGAAATTTATTATGTTTCATTAATTTTTTTCCAAAATAACTAATTTATAATAAGTTGTGTAGTTAAGGTTCTATACATTTTAATACTAAGTGTAAAAGTTTTCGAGGCTAATTCAATAAAATCAAAAACGTTTATTATCTATTGTCATATTTCAACCATTATTCTGCGCCAGAAAGAGTTAAGTAACCCTTTTAAAATTCGCCTACATTTCTTTCTAATATGACTAAACAAATAGGGTAATATAATAAAAAAATTGAGTTTTATTATTGAGAACCACTCTAATACATGTAAAATAAATCAAACTTAATTATAAGAACAACACTTAAGAGAAAATTATTGATTAGAACTATAAATTAAAAGATGTATTTTTGACATTCCTCACATAATAATTACCCTAAATCAAATTATAATTTACCTGTAGTTTTTTATATCTCGGAAAACTAGAGTTACATCTCTTATAGTTGGTTCAAAAAAATCATCTTCTTCATCTTTATAAATTATAGAAATTCCATCCATAATATTAAATAGTAGAGTTTCTCTTTCATCCAACTATATGAATTAATTCAAATAATTTTTTAACATTTTATGAAATTTTTAAACAAAATAATACTAACATATTTAATAGATGCTTTAAAATTATTAAGATCTTCATTACTTAGTCTGATAATAGCCTCTTCATTTTTTACACGTATTATCAACAACAGATTTTTCAATTGTATCTTTTTTTAAAAATTGTTGTTCTTTTAATACTTCAAATTTTGTGCAACCTTCATTTTTATATTTATTATTATTATTATTATTTTATATTATATTTTTCTTCAACTTTTGGTTTCCTCTCTGCAGGAACATAAACATGAGCTTGTTCTACTAATTCTTTTTTGTTAAGAAATCTATAAAAAAATTCAATGATTAACAGGTTGTANATCAGGTACACAGCATTATTATGTTATTATCAATGGTAGTAAGGTACATTGTTGTGAGTTTATAAATACACTGACTGACAATACAAAAAGTATATCTATTGATAGTCATAATTGATAATAAACCCAACCCAACCGTGACAGCAATGACATAAAAAACCAATTAGCTACCTATATTTGTAATCCCTTTTGTATTATATATGTATATTAACTTAAAAATTTGAAACTTTAAATGTTTATATCTAATAAACAAATAAAGTTATACTAAAAATTCAAATGTCATTTACTCTTAAATTAAAAACTCAAACATTTTATTAAATTCAAAATATGTGTTCCCATTTAAAAAAACAAAGTTGACACCCTTACCAGGCATAAGGGATGAACTTTAAAAGTATTACATAGTTAATAATTCAAGAATGATGTGTAACTAAAGATAATCGAAACAAAAATGTTTAATTTATTATTATTCTATAAGTAATTGAGTGGGTTATGATAAAAAAATCATTCTGTATATATTATTGTAATGCAACCCTTGGTAGTTTCTTAAAGAGTATATATAGAACCATATGTCTTATGCTCTTGTTTCCTCTATCACCTCATCTCCCTATGTAAATATTAGGTTAATGAAAAAAAATGATACATAGTTCTAGAAAATGTGTGAACTTTGTTTTTTTTGCTGTGTTATATTTAATTTTTTTAAGTTTTTCAGTTCAGAAATTAACTTAAGTTCCCAGTTTTTTTTTTTTTTGTGATTTATTTAGAAGTTTGTTATTGTAATTTTAAATTGATTGAAGGAACTGTTAAATATTATTTGTGTTGTTTGTTTTTTACAAGTTCTGTTTCAGGTGGCTGTCGCAGCTAACCAGTGCTCATACCTCATCTGCGGTTCTGTAGGTTTAATTAATTAAAATGTTGAGACATTGAAAATATAAAAAGGTAAACATTATTACGAAATGATAGATAATATAAAATAGCTTAATGTTATAAATAGTGATTTATTCAGTTAAGATTATTTTTATAATATTTGATAATGACCAGTAGGTAAATTTTTCACCAATTATATAATTTAAAAAAAGACATATTTTTATATATATCATTGAAATATTAATTATTTATTGAGTCAAAGTAACTTATCGATACTTGTTTGTTAATTTGTAGTTGGTGTTTACATATTTATCAATTAATTAATTTTTTATTTAATATAACTGTGATAACTACATTTTAGTCACTTGTTTTATTTATTCATTAATTAAGTTTATCTTTAGCTCATATTTTTCAATTTTGTGTAGGCGCTCATTCTCATAATTTGTGTGTTATATGAGTAACTAGACGTTTCTTTTAGTATAATATATGGTCAATTCTTTTTCATACCCAAGAGAATTAGTGTTTGGGTGATAAATGTTTATTATTGATAATAAAAAAAATATCGCAATTATGGACAATGTAGTTAATAATACTGATATTGTAAATGAGTAATGCTACTTTAAATTACTTAATTTGATCATGCTATTTTGGTAATATGTATACTTTGTTAATATAAACAAACAAAACTTATCTATATTATTATTAATACAAAATAAAAATCCACTAAAAATGAGTTTTTATTATTTTATAATTGAGTGAAACGTTTAAGAATTTGTAATTTTTTTGTGTTCTATTAGTGTTATTAGCTGTTGGGCTTTGATAACATTCATGTTGTAACAAAAGGAAAAAAAAACGCGTTGGTGCTATGTGACTTTGAGTGCTCTACATGATTATCTTTTTCGTTGGATGTTTACATGAATCATTTATACTTTTTATAAGTTATAAATAGAATATAATCTCTGGACTTTTGCTTGAGAAAGTGTTAGCTCCGTGAAGGAATATAACTTGCAATAAGTTCGTTGAAAGCGAAAAAATTCAACGATATTGAAGTTGAGTTTCAAAAAAATAAATACAGCTTTATCACAATTAAATTTAAAAAATAACAGAGCAATGAAAATGAACAAATTTTCAGGGTAGCCCAACAAATTTTGAAAAAAAAAACACAAATTATATGCTAAAGACTAATTAACAGTATGTACTGAAAAATATAGAGGGATTTTTATTTTTGAAATAATCAGGAACACTTCTGCCTTTTATATATTTTAAGTGGAAAGTTTCTCAATGACCACTACCTTCCAAATTAATCCATTTAATATTTTATAACTCTTTTTTTTCAATTTTATTTCTTTGACTACATACAAACATTAATTTAGGTTATTTTTTTTAATCCAAAGAAAAGAAAATTGTTTTGAAGATCATATGATAATGTTAAGAAGCATAAATTCTAGAGAGTTTTTTCAAATTTTATTTTACATTATTTATATATTTTTTTTTTATTCATAGTTTTATAAAAGTATGAATAAAATTAAGAATTATAATTGAATCTCTTAAAAATTCATGAAAATTGATTTACACCACTTTAGTTCTAACCTTTAATTTTGTACACAAATAATTTGACTAGAATATATTTCCATGACAAGTTAAATCATTTATTAATATTAAAAACAAACCCCAATAAAGCTTTTCCATTTATAAGACTCAAATCTTTAAGTGTTTTATTTTGTAGTTTATCTTTATCAATAATTTCTATTCTAGTATAAATTATAGTAGGACTCTCATAATTAATTACTTTATCTTTCAATATTGACTGAACAACTTCCCATAAATTTTCTAAATCAAAGTATTGTAAACATTTTTTTAAATATAATATTTTAAAAAACTTACGGTCTGGTGTGAATTCTCCAGATAATCTCAAACCATCTTCTAACTGAAGCCATATAACAACAATGCTTTTTAGTTTAGATTTTGTAGTAGGTACTAGTTCTAATATAGCATTATTAGCAATATTAGAAAACCTTAAGATATTAGTAGAATCTAATATTTTGTTGTGATACCTAAAAAAATTGTATAAATAACAATAATTACATTTTTTTTAATTACAAATAATAATTGAGAAGTTTGCTAGAAAAGAGATTTAGCTCTATTTTTAAGAGTTTAGAGTCATGTTTCAAAAAAGGATCTTTAAGCATTAAAATTTTTTTTTGGTTTATTTTAGATTAATACTTTATTATTTATAAACTGTTAAATTAATATTTATAAGTGATATTTTATTAATGTACATTCAAGTATATTATTTTTTAAGTATATTAAAATTTTTATTCAAACTTATAAATATTAATAAAAAAATAAAGTCTTGAAAATAATACTTGTTAGAATTATTTCATCCACAAAAATATTTTTGTCAACTTATGTGTTAAAATTTTTATTGTAATTAATTATTCAAGCTGTTTTTTCAAATTTTCAATACTTCTATTGCAAATAATATATACTTTTAATATGTATAATGACTAGTATTTTATGTTCATATAATGTGTTAACTATTTAAGTTTATTTGGTTTATATATTAACAGTATATATTATTTACAATTTGAGTATTTAAAATTTTGAATAATTAATTATAATAAAAATTTAAACACATAAGTTGACAAAAATATTTTTGTGGATGAAATAATCCTAATAAGTATTTTCAAGACTTTATTTTTTATTAATATTTATAAAAAACGGATAAGCAAATTTTAGCAATCTTTAGAGAGCAAGAAAAAATATTTTTATTTTTAATGGTGTCTTATGTAAACATTTTTAAAAGCTGACCTTATAAATAAAATAAGCATACCATTTTTTGGTACATATAGATATACATACTATCCAGATAAATAGTAATTTTTTTAAAAGAAAATTTCAAGACAAAATTAAAAATATACTATGTTAATTAAAAAATAAAAGAAAGTTACTATTTAGCATCTAAATGTTATACTAACAAGGGTAGGTCACAGTGATGGGGTCACCGATTTTCATAAAATTTATATAGATCTAATCTATATTGAATACAGAATCAGACGTAATTTGAATTTTTTGCCAATGCCCCCCCCCAAAGTCGAGTAAATTGACTTTGAAAATTTTTAATTAGCTTCAATGGAGTCATTTTTCTTCAAAAAATGATTAACTTTACTCCTTCATAAAATATGAACTCCATGCAAACCTTGCACTGAACGTTAAACCTTTCAAAAATCTCTCTCCTTTATAATTTATATACTCTTACCAGGTTAATATAAAAAATATATTTTATTTATTATTATAAAAAATTTTCAAATATTACATAAAATTAATAATTGAAAGAGAAAACAGTGAAAAAAAAAGCAAAACATTTTATAAGGTGGTGAAATTCGACCTCGAGCCTGTTCGTATTATAGAATCACGTACTGTCGACTGGACCATAACACGAGTTATTATCCGGAAGAAAAATGACTCCATTTAAGCTAATTAAAAATTTTCAAAGTCAATTTACTCGACTTGGGGGGGGGGCATTGGCAAAAAATTCAAATTACGTCTGATTCTGTATTCAATATAGATTAGATCTATATAAATTTTATAAATATCGGTAACCCCATCACCGTGACCTCCCCTTGTAAGTCTACAAAAATTAATAATAGCATATTTGAAGCTTACTTTAAATCATAATTATTGTAATCAACTTTCATTTTAGTACATGCTAATTCCAGTACCTATAAATGATTTTAAAAATATAAATTATACTCATGAAATTGAATGAATAAATAACAGGCAAGTTATTTAAAACTTACCATATAACAAAAGTCATTCAGATAATTTACTATTTTAGAATTTTTGAAATAACACAGTCAACATTTAATAAAGAACATAATTCTCAAATATATATATATGTTTTATTTTTCATTTTTATGTATTATTAATGTTCTTTTTGGATTGATATAGGCTTATATAAAATAAGTACCAATTACTAATAAGTATGATTTTTTTGCCCCTAATGGGTATAGTCTTATAAAAATGGATTTATAACAATTGCTACCAACAAAAAAAATTCAGAATTACATTGAATTTAAGGTGAACTATCATAGTACAATATATAAAATTTTCAATCTGGTGTTATTAAATAGAGTAAATTCTTTGCAAGACTCTACTCTAATATTAACCAAATTTTATGGCTATTTAGGAAGGTATATTGGCCAATAAAAATTTTTTGTTGCAACCAATTTAAATTACTACACATACCTTTTAAGATGTATGGGTAATAACTATAAAGCATATTAAAATAATATGGTAGGACATATACTATGATTTCAAGGAAAATTCAATACAGTAACAATATAGAAATAAAACCAAACCTGGCTAACAGAATCGAATAAAGTAAAAATTATTAGGCTAGGTTGAGTAAAAAACCATATATTAATATATTTTTTTGTGGTTATAAATATTTAAATAATAAAAATTATTTTTTCAAACTAAATAAAAATGTTCTACAATATAAAAATGTCAGCAACATTTAGTATATCTTTAAGAAAGTAAAAGAGATAAAATTTGGCTTGAATTTTTCTAATTTTTTTAATTTTATAAGAACTACATAGGAGTAATTAACGAGTTAAAAATGAATGAAAAGCATTAAATTTCTCATTTTTATTTAACACATCTCTTTTTACAAACTATTTATTAATAAGTACAGTAAAACTAAAAAACCCAGCACAGGGAGGACGCGGCACAGTGGTGACGTGGCATAGTTGGATCAAGTATAATGATATCTGACAGTGATTAAAATCACTATAAAAAAAAAACGCTTCGATGCAAATCTTTAGATAGTGTTTAATTTTAAAAAAATTGGGNAGATAGTGCTTAATTTTAAAAAAATTGGTGGATTATTCCAAAAGCTACATTATCTGCTAGTTCCTTATTAATATCCTAATTAAGATGAAGTATGTCGAATGAAAAAGGGATTGTTAAAAAATATTATTTCTCATAAAAAATAATGTTGATCCATACACTTTTCAATATGTCATAGCATTATAAAGTTAAAAATGTAAAAAATAAAATCGAGAATTTTCACACAATAATAGCATTTGGTAGCCATTTTCACCTTGAAGATAAAATAAAGTCCGAAATTTTTTTTTATCATTATAAAGTATATTACATTAGCTTTAATTTAAGATATATATAAAAGTGTCAGACCTTCTGGAACACTTTCAAAAGTTAAGTTGAAAAAGTCAATTTTTTGTGAAAAAGTTGTCATTTTGAATCCCCCCCTGTAGGCAGGTAAAAAGTCAGATTTATAAAAAAAATATACCAAATGATAGGTAATGACATTATGCATCTATAAAAGAAAGAATTATATTAATATGTTTATTTTTAAAAAAGTTACTGCAGTTTTTAGTAAAAAAAATTGAAAAAGTTTCGAAAAATAGCGATTTTTAAATTTGTAATTTTTTCGGAGGTTTCCCCCATTTACGGGGAACGAGGGAAATTTTTTCAATTTTGAAGGGTAATGTCTTCGACTAGATACGATTTGTGATCTTTTGACGTATCGTTGAAAGAAATCCGTTCGGTGAGAGCTGAGAAAAAGTGGTAACAGACACAAAAAAAAAA